GTATACGAGGTTCTATGAATATGCAAATGAGCCCCGCCTCCACTCACTCAAGCTCAGAGATCCACTCGTTGACGATCACATGTTGACCTGATTGGTTACAAGGTAGTTTGTGACGTCAGAAACACCAGCGATTTCAAACCGCGTTTTTGGTTCACTGCAGTTTTAAGGAGAAAATACTCAGCAATGGTGTCGACTTATGCATATGCATTATGGTTTGTCTTAAAGCATATTAAAAACACCACATAGACATATAAACAACATTAAAAGCTTGATTTTCACCACGGGGGGACTTTAAATAAGAGCTAAATGCATTTGAAACTTGAGATTTGTTAATGCTAACTGAAAAATCTGATCTTCTGCCTGCAGTAAATATCCATGTTTGCATGAAGTTATGTTGTATGTCAACTCTAATATTGTACTAATAAAGATTTTAAGGGAATATAATGGTTCAGTAGGTTCCTGGTGTATTTAAGGCATGATGCCAATTCACAGCAGGGGGAAAAAAAATCCACCCCCAGTTTGTAAAAGAACAAACACACTGACAGTATACTTACAATAGAGCAATAGCCCCATAGACTTCCATTTTAAGTAGCAATGAGTCGAAATTATTTTCGGTGGCAATTGACATTCTGCCTAAAATGCTGTCGATACTGCTTAACCTGTAAAGAGCTTCACTTGTATTGAACCCTGAGCATCCTTTAACCTAATGTGGTGAGTAATGGGTCTTGCCTACATGTGTTTTGTGTGAAATAAAATCCATTCATTACCACTAAACTAACAGGTGGTATTTAGTTGATTTTACCAGTCTATCAATGTAGGCCATCTTGTTGCTGTCAGTATTTCTTTGTTCAGTGTGTTTAGCTACTGCCATCTATTGGAGACACGATAAAATGACCAAAAATAAAATAAAAATGCAAAATATACATTGAACTATGTACTCGAAAATATTGAGAACATTTTAAAGCTGTGACATCAGTGAAATATACCTTATGAATTGAGTAAATGTAAAACATTGAAGTGGATCTGAATAACTAGTAGGCTAAGTAAAACTCAGATACAAGTCACACAGTAACTCAAATATTTGTTAGCCAATTTAAAAACAATATTGAGAAATAATGTGAAATTGTTTCATTTGAAGCCATCTTAAAATCAGCAGCTAACTGTTAGATAGCAATAGTGCTAACATAAACCACATAGGCTAAGTTTACACACACACAACTGAAATGTCTATATCATTGTTTTAACATTTATCTAAAAGCTTATGCTTAAATACTTGAAATTACAATGAAAAAATATATATTTTACCCACTTGGATTGCTTGAGTGAGTAGGTTTTGCCCAAACTGTGATCTGTCAACGTTACAGCTGTAGTGTAAACCACATGGATCACGTGTGGGTGTTAACCGGAACTGAGTAATGCGTATTGACTATTTTATGGGAGCTAATTAAAATCTCCACTATCTCTAAACTAGAAAGCGACAGTTTGGTGTTAATAATGCATCAATGTAGGCGTTTTTTACGTCAGTGGTATTTTACGTGTTTATCTACCGCCATCTATTGGAGACAGAAGCAGATGAACCGGCAAATCATGGTGAGGAAACTGGATATAAACATGATGTGTTTAGAGAACGTTATTAATGATTAAATTAAATACAGCCTAAAATTCTAGTTCATTTAAACCATATTTATTTTAACATTTGTAGATAACACTGGAGATAATAAAGCATAACAACGGGGATAAAGGCACACCTTTAGACATATGTGCTTTTCACTATACTTGTATGATTGCAGAAAAAAAATCATGTTTTGTTTAAAGATCTTATAAATGCAGTACTTTAGCAAAAATAATGTTTTTAATAAATTCACCAAAGTTTGACATATTTTCAGTTTATTTTGATAAATAAATGAAATCATTTTTATTCACTAAATATACTGTCATTAAAATGTTTATTTTAAAAATACAGAAAGAAAAAATGATTTTAAAAAGTAAAGATTCTAAAAGCATTGAATAAGATCCCATAATAATGTAATATAGCTTTACAGTAGTAACAAATATGATATTTTTAATGTTTTAAGGTGGACATCCAAGATATGATATTTACCATCTGAATCTAACCAAACAATGGAAAATTCAGCCAGCTGTTTATTATCATGTTAATTATTGTGCTTTTCGCCTCAAATACTATATTTTACCTATTCTTCCGTTATTGAAAAACTGTTGCATTCATGACCTGATTAACAAAACTGAAAATCATTAACAAGACCGTTGCCTCTACATATAGTCAATCATTTTATTGATTCTCATTTGCTACATTAAATATTAGATCAAGTTAGCGCAGAATCAACTTTGCGTTGCTGTCCGCGATCACGTCAAGGATCATAACGATTTCCACGCGCATCTTCAAAAGTGCTGAGCTGAATTTTTGTGCCATCTAGCGGTTTAAAAGAGAATAAAGACGAACGCCCCTTTTACCCCGGTGCGCCTTTAGCCCCGTGTGCCCCACGACTCAAAGTGACACATAATGACGTTCGTTACCTTAATACACTTTAACTTATGAATATTAGCCATAAGTGTCTGCACAAAGAACAACTTTTAGACTTGACTTTGCGGGGACGGAGTCGCGAGCTCCATTTGCAGGCTAATGTTGCGTGGACGATGTGCGCGAGATGCCAGCAGAGACAGATGGAGGCTCCTCTTGGACGCCGACCATTGATTCCCAATGATTAGCATTAGGAAGCAGCGCTGCTCTTGATTACTGCCTGGCAACCATGAACATGTCCATTGAGTTTTAATTAACACAAAGTGAGATACATTTCATTAGCATAAAAAAAAAAAAAAAGACGTCAAAAGAAAGTCTGGCAAGAGAGATTCGCTTTAAAACCTCACCATGAAGATTATCTTAATATTTAGTTTGACATTATGTGGTAGATAATTCCTTTAGACAGAAGTAGCGGCCTATGTATCTAATTCTGTGCGGAAAATATGACAATAAATCTTCAGACTGAAGCCTAATGTAACAGTGCATCAATGTAATTACATACTTCGATAAATTAATGTTATTTACATAACGACAGCGTCTACGATGAATGAGAAACATTTGCAGTCTACGCATGGATGACTATTTTTATTGAATGTGAATCACAAATGTGTAAATAGATACATAAGTAATCTTAATCATTTACATGTCAACTTAATATACAGGCTTCCCCACAACCTTTGACCAAATGAATTTTCCAGTCATGCATGTTACACATAATACTGTGCTGAAACGTATCTGGTTTATGTAGTTTATGAGATGCATAAGAAATATACATCGAAGTTGCATGTCTTTAAAGGGGTCATATAATGCCATTTTTGTACAAGCTAGTATGATTCTTTAGGGTCTAAATTAAAAGTTTGTAATATACTTTAATTAAAAATTCTCATTAGTATTGTAAGAAAACACTTATTTTACCTGGTCAAAAACAGCTCTGTTTTCAGCACGCCGTTTCAGTGCATATGACTTTAAATGATAATGAGCTTTGCTCACCTCGCCTCTCTGTTCTGTGTGTACACCATTTGTAACACAATAAGGGCCGTTACATAGTCAACGCGAACAATGCGAGCAAGCAACGCGAGCGAAGCGAGCTTCACGCTCCTTTTCATAGTACGCAAGCAGACGTAAGCGTCACAGGCGATGCGTGAAATGCAATACACCGATCACGCAACAGGGGGTAGTAGAGTCTAGAGTCGGGTCACGTGATATTCAGATCAAAATGGCAACTGAAGAGGAGTGCATATTGCTGATTTTACATCGGCGGCAACATTTTTTACCTTCTCCACGGTCTTTCCCATCGCGGTCGCAACCTCTCTCCAGGCATTTTCCAAACCAAATTTATTGGAATGTAATTGTGGCGAACTGTCGAATATATGTGGATGTATAAGAACAAGCTCGCATAACTTTTCCTCTTCGCCCGCCATTGTATTTAAATCTTCTTCTTCTGTAAACATAATAATATACCTTTTTATGTACATTACTTGCAATGTCGCCCCCACCGACAACACATAGTATTGCGTGCATCGGTGCGTCGCGTATCAAAAACTAGGACACATTTGGCTACGCATCGACGCATAATGGCGGCCGAAGCGTAGCGATGTGTAGCCTTGCGCACGCGAACCGATGCGTTGACTATGTAAGGGCCCTAACACAATAACCATAACGCGTTGTTCAGTATAAACGTGGGATTATGAATTATATTGAGAACATCGTACATAGAAAACATGCCGTAATGTACCCTAAGTGTAAACCTTAGACGCATTCATTGTGAAGCGTGCAGCTAGCGATTTGCAAAGATTCATATAAATATTAATATAAAGTTTAATAAAACGTTACACTCACTTCAGTTCTTCTGGAGGTTCAGCAGGAACACGAAAAGCTGGTACCGATCCTTTATTCATGAGCAGCTTCTTAGCAAATCCAGCTTTATACTGATCCTCATTTATAAAGCAGTCTGGTGTGAAATGATTCGCTCAAACATGAGAGCATTGACGTTACTCGTGGGGAATATTCCCTTCGAAAACAAACTCAGCCACTGCGTCTTCAGCGGTTCGGATTTAGGAACATTAAAATGACTGCTGTGTTCGTTATTACACCCAAGAACAGAACACCACAATCGCTTAGACGCCATTCTGCTCATAGACAGTGCTCCAGCATATCAACAATGACCGCGCCGGTTCGCGCAGACTATGATTGACAGGTCCCTCATGAGTGAGGGCGGGTCTGTGTTGAAACGCTGCTGTCAATCAACAATCGTGGGAGGGGCTTCCGACCGTGTGACGTCACAGGCTCGAACGGCTCGATTTGAGGCAGGGGAAAACATATAAGGAGATTAAAACAAAAACACTGGATGGATTTTTATCATTTTATGATGGTTGTGTACAGGCACTGCCAACACACATTTCAGTACAATCAACTTGTAAAAGTGCATGTACCATTATATGACCCCTTTAAAATATTCTTAAAACTAATATGTACAATAAAATAACATGCATAAACAGTAATTCCAATATTGAATACAACTCTCCCAGTGCAAGTGGTTTCATCTCAGGAAATGAAACGGATGAAGAAGTGTGGTTGAGGTTTCAGCACTCCCGTTATGTGTACGACAGTAATTTGACGTCATAAGAGCCTTCCACCTGAAAATGGAACAAACATGTTAATTCAGTACAAAAGAAAGATAATGGCACGGGTAGACGACAGCGTAACTCACGTCGAAGCGTCCGATGGAAGCCGCAGTCTGGCTCGCCTGCATGATCTCAGTGAGCGCCCACATCTGCTGAATGCTGGAGGACACCGTCTCTGGATCAGGAAGTCCCTGAGCAACACACACACACACACATTATTAAAGGTATAATGCACTAGACACCTGGCGTCGTTTCAAACGTTTAGCATTTCTGCTATGTAGAACACAAACGAGAAAAAAAAAGAGAAAAATCTTGGTATTGTGGAGTTCAGTAGCAGATTCAGTGTTGACCAGCAAGTGGCAGTGAAGCACTGCCATAGAGAGGAGAATAATTATTATTGTAAGAATCAATATATAGATAGATGTAGATATAAAGAGTGTATATCACTCATTTTCACATAAACGTGATGAACATGTTTTCATGCTTGAATGTTCATTACTTTTTCACATATTCTGCATTGTTGCAGCTCCTCTGTTCCCAGTCTGCCAGTGACGCTCTGGGGTGTGTTTCCCGAAAGCATCGTTCGCCAACTATATTCGCAAAGTCCGTCGTTATCCGCATAGTTCAGCGAGTCTCTGTTTCCCCACAGCTCTCGATCCGTGGTTAGAAGCAGAGCTGCTTGTTTGCAGAACATGTGGACTCAATAAATCCTTATCTTGAGCAAAATAAGTAATCTGACAATCAGTACAATCTATATCTTTTATTTAGAATACATACAAATGTCATTTAGGTCAGTTTGTCAAGAGATTTAAAGTGTCGTTTTTGAAGAGTGCGTATGTGTGAACGTGCTCTAGTGTCTATGATTGAATCTGGAAATAAAGCAAAATAACTGAGAAAAATTAGAAATATTCCTCAGATGCCATGTCTGTAATTTATAGTTAAACATCTAGCGTTAATTCGATCTCAAACGGTTTCATTAAAAGGAGTTATTACTCCAACACCTACGTGATATCATTAACCAACGTGGTTGAACGACCACTTTGCGACAGTACGGTTTCGGGAAACAGTCGTGACTAGCTGATTGATTTCTAGTTGATAGTTGACTAGTTGATTTCTTCAATGATGCATTGTACTATGGTAGTTCAGCAGCGAGTTACGTCGTTGTACGGGAAACACACTCCTGTTTAGTTCCTGTCTCTATGAAGCCCCTCCTTCTGAAAAGCATAATGTGCTCTGATTGGTCGGCTGGATCAGTGTGTTGTGATTGGTCAACCACTTCAAATGCGTTTGAAAACTGTCCCGCCCCCACACTACTAACTAACTCAACCAGGCCCCGCCCCTTTATTTAGCATATGAATTGTTGATAACACTTTACTTGAAGGGGTGTGCATAAGACTGACATGACACCTTCATAATCATGACATAACACGTCATAAATATAAAGGAGGTTTTATGCATGTTTATGACAACTGTCATTAAGTGTCATTCGCTCAATTATGACATTTTGAATGCAAATATGACATTGTTTGAGATGTCTTTGTTATGACAACTTGACATAAACCAATACATCATAACCTGTCAGTGTCTTTGTCATGACAACTTGGCATTACCAAGACAACATAAATTGTCATAAATATGTCATAAACATGACATAGCAGATTAAATATCAAACTTAAGAAGCCACTTAGCTTTACAGGTTAACGTTACATTAAACTGTCAGGTGGTTGGTTTTGACATTGGCTGTCATGAGGCCATTATAACATTTTAATGACAAATTCAATTTGTACCACTGTAGTCGAGGTCAAGAAAAATATTCATGACACAGTTATAACGGACTCATGACAGCCAATGTCAAAACCAACCACATGACAGTTTAATGCAATGTTAACCCATAAAACTAAGTGGTTTCTTAAGTTTGATAATTAATCTGCTATGTCATGTTTATGACATATTTATGACAGGTTGTGTTGTCTTAGCAATGTCAAGTTGTCATAACAAAGAAATCTCAAACAATGTCATATTTGCATTAAACGTGTCATGCGTAAAACCTTCATATTCGTGACATGTGTCATGTCATGATTATGAAGGTGTCATGTCAGTCTTGTGCACACCCCTTCAAGTAAAGTGTTACCGAATTGTTTAAATGAGAAATATTGTGACGTGTTCATTCCCAGAAGAAAACTCAAGACTACAATGGAGGCATTTCAAGGACTTCAGAAACAGTGACACTGATATAGAGAATAACTCCCGCTGTAACTTTGCAGATATTGCCATGCTCAAACAGCAACATTACACACTGAAGAAAGTTGAACATGAACCAAAACATGGAATACTAGAGGTAAATCAACAATTATGAATTATGATCACTTCCTCTGCTTTTCAGGTGGCGAAACTGTTTAAATAAACATTAAGTTGAGCCTTCATTGATAAAGCTATAGAGACACTTTCAAACCATCAAACAAGCATTTTACATTTCTAATGCAAATGACAGATAAATGGGGACTGGGAGTTGGGACACGTCCACAATAATCAGCGATTGAAAAACGACAACCTGAGAGTTTCATACATTTCCGTAATTATCTTTTCGTTCTGTTCTTAAGCAAAATTGTTAATTAACACCTCAGAGCTGCATAAATACATAGAGACGCTTGTGTGCTGCTAAATGAAATGGCATTAGCAGTCTTAAGGGAGCATTGTATATGCTGTTAAACAGCAAGATGTTCAATATTCATTAGATGACAACTGTTGTGCATTATACAACAAATTATAAGACACACAATACTCACATTCAAATCAAGAGGTTCCTCTACAGGTGTGAGAGTGGATAACCAGGCAGGGACATCTCGCTCCGAGTCCTGGACAGACGAAAACAACACAACCACTGAACAAGGTTTGGTAAAATACTGACAAACCAAGCAAAAAAAAAAGAAAAAATGCAGGGTACAATGGGTACTGTAAAGACAAAAATAACACATAGGCCGAGCAACTCTGTAAACAAAACAAAAAAAGCCAAGCAATAAAATAAATAAATGAATATATAAATAAAATTCCAAACAAACATGTACAAAATGAAGCAAAACCAAGCAGGAACATATTCCTGGTCAGACAAAAAAAAAAAAAAAAAACATACACAAACAACCCAAAAACCAAGCAAACAAAACAAACTCCAAACAAAAACAGAAAAGCAAATCAAATAAAAACCAACTTTCCAGGGAAAAATAATAATAATAATATTTTTTTTGAACAACTTAAAAAAAAAAAAAAAGGTTTTGATTGAAACTAAACAAAACGAAAACCAATAAAAAAAAACATAAAGCAAACTAGATCAAACACAAACTTTAAACAAACCAAAGCAAATCAAACAAAACAAAAGCATATAAAACAAACTCCAAACAAACTTACAAAAAACACCTTTTTTTTTTTTAAAAAGTCTAAAAAATGTCATTGTATGTAAAATTGGACAATGAGAATAGAGACATCCATCCATCCATCTATCTATATTAAGTGATTAATTATATGTCATAAGTGACCATTTATTCTACACAGTTACCTCTTTTGCACACGGGTAAATGTTAATTTCCTCAATGCTGAAATTGTGCCACTCTGAGGAGGGCTGTCGCAGGATGAGTCTCACTGTGGTCACGTCATCAGGCTCCGTCAGCATCTGAGAAGCCCAATATAGAGAAGAAAAGATCTCAGCAAGAAGTGACACAAAGTTGAGAGAGCTCTGGGTCTTTCATGCAGCAATCAAAGACACAAAGGAGGTTAAATCAAGAATGAACGTCGGAATTTAGACACTAAGGATGTGCGTTTTCCAAGCCTTAATTAACTAGACAGAATGAAAACCTGATAAAAGAGACAGTTTCATGTAGTAATCTGCAAAACTGCTCCAAACACTTGACATTTGTGTTTGTGTTGATGACTGAAGTGTGAAAGTTTCCTTCTACTTCAGCTGACAGTAGTGGCTTGGAGCTTGTTCATGTCAGAGAATTGCTCTGGAAAGATTTAATCTTTAATAATTATGTTTACTGTATTAAGGCCCCGATATACTTCGTCAAATCGAAGAATGAATTGATGTTTCGGCGTTTCCAACTAAAGCAGGCTAAATCGAAGTTTGTTTGATGTTCGTTTCAGGAAACTGCTCGCCAAAACAAACTCTGGAAAACACCTTCGAACGACCATTGGCTGGTGGTGATGATGTAATAGGTGGGTGGGGCTCTGAGGCTCCGCCCACTTTGACGTGTAAATCTTCTCCGGTTCATTTCTTCTGTTGAGTTCGTCGAGGTCAGATGTCGCGAGTAAAAAAATGAACACTTTATAGTAGAAACTGAAGTTGTAATTCTAACTTAAAGAGACACTGACACTGTTTTTCCGGTAACGCTTCCTTTTACAGTCCTGTTACCCATGTACTTACTATGTACTTATTATAGTAATTATAATTAATGGGTAATAACTAGGTACTAACCCTGAACCTACCCCTAACCCATGTACTTACCTTATATTAGCCAGTACTTTCTAGGTAAGTACACTGTAAGTACACGTAAGTACTGTACTATAAAAGGAAGCGTTACCGTTTTTTTCATGTTTAATACTGTAAAGCTGATGCTTTTAAACAAACTATTGTATACAGTGCTATATAAATAGACGTGGCTTTACTTTACTGAATGGTGCTGAATTGCAGAGCCGGCGCAAACATCCATATCTCCATAATTAGATGCTTTCTTAACTGCTGTTTTCTCATTTTTGTCGTGTGTTTGTTTTGTTTTTGAGAGGAAAGCGCACAGCACATAATAACATATTCATATAAATGTGGTTCTGCAGCTTGGACGCATTGGGATGTTCGCTAAAAGTTTACCGGTGGTCATGTTTTTTTGGTCAACTTCTTTTTACCCCTAAGTGAAGATCAAAACATAACTTTGCTTTATGTATATTGTGTCCTTTATAATATGAACACAAATACATATCTGATGGTACAAGATATCATATATACACTACCGTTCAAAAGAGTGGGGTTGGTATGACTTTTTTTTTTAAATATGATATGAAAATGTTTGCCGATACCGATAACCGATAATTCCTTATATTTGAAAGCCGATAACCGATATATGGGCTGATAAAATTTAAATCCAAATTTGTATGATTTTTGAGAGCCTGATTACAAAAACAAAAGTCTCACCATTAAAAGCCACGTCACAAGACCACAAATATAATGTTCTCATTATATTTTTATGTAGCCTTTATGACAGACTTGCGGTGCACATGTTGCACTTAACTATGTGATATTATCATATCAATCATATTATCAATCATATTTCAAGCAATTCAAAAACATCATTGAGAAAAGTGCGCATCTGAAGTGTCTCAGCTGAAGGAAATAATGCATTATTTATCAGCTTTAATATATCGGCCAAATTTTCTTATCGGGCCGATAACGGTAACATTAAAAATGAACATATATCGGCCGATACCAATATATATATATTAGGGCTGTCAAATGATTAATCGCGATTAATCGCATCCAAAATAAAAGTTTGTGTTTACATAATATATGTGGGTGCTCTGTGTATAATTATTTTGTATATATATAAATACACACACATGCATGTATATTTAAGAAAAAAATTTATTTATATATAAAATATTTATATTTATATATAATAAAAAATATATATAAATCTATATACAGTATATACATGAAAATATTTCTTAAATATATACAAGAATGTGTGTGTATTTATATATATAAAATAATTATACACAGAGCACCCACATATATTATGTAAACACAAACTTTTATTTTGGATGCGATTAATCGCGATTAATCATTTGACAGCCCTAATATATATATATATATATATATATATATATATATAGCCAAAATATATCGTGTATCCCTACTTTTAAAGAATGTTTTAAATCATTTCCTGGAGCATTTACTGAATACAGTAAAAACTTAAATATTGTGAAATATTATTACATTTTTCTATTTGAATACATTTTAAAATGTAATTTATTCCTGTGATCAAAGTTTCAATGTCACATGATCCTTCAGAAATCATTCTAATATGATGATTTGATACTCAAGAAACATTTACTATTCTTATCAATGTTGTGCTGCTTCATATTTTTGTGAAAACTGATTTTGTGATTTTTGTGAAACTGTGAAATCAGGCAATTCAGCCAAGAAACTGACACGACCTTCACCAACCAACAGTTGAAGAATAAGCAGCTGCATGAATTTGCCAAAAACAGTGACACAGCAAAAATGTGTCACTTTTTTACGCTTGGAATAAGTTACTTGTGCAGAGGAGTAAACCAAGGCTGCAAAGACTGGCAAGTTATCTGCTTGTTTTCGCCGAGATTTAAAGAGATTTTGAAGGCCGTCTCCAGAGAAACCATGCAAATGCCACACACCAGCACTCTTTATCTCTTTAAATCATTTGTGCTAGTTCACACCAAAGTGAAAAATTTGCTATTATAAATAATTAGGGCTGTCAAATGATTAATCACGATTAATCACATCCAAAATAAAAGTTTGTGTTTACATAATATATGTGGGTGCACTGTGTATAATTATTTTATATATATAAATACACACACATGCATGTATATTTAAGAAAAAAATATTATTTATATATAAAATATTTATATCTAATATTTAAATCTATATACAGTATACACATGAAAATATTTCTTAAATATATACAAGCATGTGTGTGTATTTATATATATAAAATAATTATACACAGTGCACCCACATATATTATGTAAACAAAAACTTTTATTTTGGATGTGATTAATCACGATTAATCATTTGACAGCCCTATAAATAATGTAATTGTAATTATTACAAATAATGTCATTCCAAACCCATAAACAGCAAACACACACACTATAATTTTAGCATTAGTAATTTTATGTGCTTTTTCTTTTTTAATTTGTTTTTATTTCAGGTTTAGTACTTAAATTTACTTTATTTCAATTAGTTTGCAAGGAAAACGTTCTAACTTTCACTCAAGTGTTTTATATAATATTTATATTTTATTTCAGCTTTATTTCAATTAACAAAAAGGTTTTTATATATATATATATATATATATATATATATATATATATATATATATATATATATAGTTTTAGTTTCAGCTAACATAATACAAGCATGAACACATTATAAAACAGTCTATTTTAGACTTATGTCTTCTCTATGGTCATTTTAGGTCTTGACAGCCCAATTGACTTTAAATAGGCTATATGAAAAAAGCAGCAAGGGTTTTGTTTAAAAGAAATCATCTTTTGTCTTCCACAGTAGAGAGAAAGTCAGGTGTTGGAGTAAAGGATGACAGCATTTTCATTTTTGAGTGAACTAATCCTTTTACATTCACTGTAAGAATCCATAAAATGTCCTTGTAATTATAAAGACCCACAAGGACGTTGTTTTATATTTAATATTTCTACCTTTCTTAATAAAGACTTATTTATCATTCCACTTCCCGTTGACATAAAAAGAAAATGTCTTATACAGATTATGGCAGATGGGGTGAGAGCTATGTGGCGTCCCAGGTGGGATTTTCAATGGAAATTTCATTTGGTGACACTAAAGGTGTCCATACAGCGCAGAACTTCCCGTCCAATCATCTGAGAGTTCACTCGAGGACTCGCGTCTAATATCTTCATGTCTTTGAAACGGAGCTGAACAGCGTCGAGGGAGCCTGATCTCAATACATTAAAGCAGTCATTACAGGCAACTCACAGATCAAAGACCGGGACATCAGATCCCCGGAGAGCCACAAATGGGCCAAATCACCGTGATGACAAACAAAATGTTCTCCGAGCTGCTGCGATTATGCTGGGATGGCTGACAAAACGGTTAGGGTTTTTTAATTGAAAAACTGAAGATATCCTGCGGACACGATTGCTGGTGTTGTCACAGAGGAAATTATTAAAAAAGATTACAAATATCACATATTTTGTCTACTTGCAAAAGCAGTAATTATGACATACAGGTATTTTAAATAAATAAAATGTCAGAAATGCACAATTTGAAGAATTCATTTTCTATAAAGGTTCAGTAACATTTACAGTTGTTCAGGGACATTTTGCGAGTAAAATTCTGTTATTTCAGTAGGAATCTGTGCATTTGGGAGTTTCATAGGAGAGCAAAAAAGTTCCAGATGCAGATTTCGCTCATGTTCATGTTGGTCACGCCAAAATGTTTTGATGGTGTCAGTGTCATTTCGTATGAAGCAATTGACATTAACTCGTAATTGTGATAAATAAAGTTACATTGCGAGTTATAAAGGCAGAATTACAAAAAATAAAGTCAGAATTGCAAGAAATAAAGTCAGAATTGCAAGATATAAAGTCAGATTGGGAGAAATAAACTCGCCATTGTGAGATATAGTCAGAATTGCGAGGAAATAAATGAACTATTGTGAGAAATAAAGTCAGAATTGCGAGAAATAGTCAGAATTGCGGGAATTAAACTACCTATTGTGAGAAATAAACTCGTAATTGTGAGAACTAGTCACATTGCGAGATATAAAGTCAGATTGCGAGTCAGAATTGCGAGAAATAAAGTCAGAATTGCAAGATATAAAGTCAGATTGGGAGAAATAAACTCGCCATTGTGAGATATAGTCAGAATTGCGAGGAAATAAATGAACTATTGTGAGAAATAAAGTCAGAATTGCAAGAAATAAAGTCAGAATTGCGAGAAATAAACAAACTATTGTGAGAAATATAGTCAGAATCGTGAAAATAAACAAACTATTGTGAGAAATAAAGTCAGAATTGCGAGAAATAAACAAACTATTGTGAGAAATATAGTCAGAATTGTGAGAAATAAAGTCAGAATTGTGAGAAATAAACAAACTATTGTGAGAAATAAAGTCAGAATTGCGAGAAATAAACAAACTATTGTGAGAAATAAACAAACTATTGTGAGAAATATAGTCAGAATTGTGAGAAATAAAGTCAGAATTGTGAGAAATAGTCAGAATTGTGAGAAATAGTCAGAATTGCGAAAAATAAACTTGCCATTGCGAGAAATAGTCAGAAAGAATTGCGAGAAATATAGTCAGAATTGTGAGAAATAGTCAGAATTGCGATAAATAAACTTGCCATTGCGAGAAATAGTCAGAATTGCGAGAAATAAAGTCAGAATTGCAAGAAACAAAGTCAGAATTGCGAGAAATAAAGTCAGAATTGCGAGAAATAAACAAACTATTGTGAGAAATATAGTCAGAATTGTGAGAAATAAACTAACTATTGTGAGAAATAAAGTCAGAATTGTGAGAAATAGTCAGAATTGCGAGAATATTGTGAGAAATAAACTCGTAATTGTGAGTCACATTGCGAGATATAAAGTCAGATTGCGAGTCAGAATTGTGAGAAATAAAGTCAGAATTGTGAGAAATAAACTTGCCATTGCGAGAAATAGTCAGAATTGCGAGAAATATTGTCAGAATTGTGAGAAATAGTCAGAATTGCGATAAATAAACTTGCCATTGCGAGAAATAGTCAGAATTGCGAGAAATATAGTCAGAATTGTGAGAAATAGTCAGAATTGCGATAAATAAACTTGCCATTGCGAGAAATAGTCAGAATTGCAAGAAATAAAGTCAAAATTGTGAGAAATAAAGTCTGAATTGCGAGAAAAACTAACTATTGTGAGAAATAAAGTCAGAATTGCGAGAAATAAACAAACTATTGTGAGAAATATAGTCAGAATTGTGAGAAATAAACAAACTATTGTGAGAAATAGTCAGAATTGCGAGAAACAAACAAACTATTGTGAGAAATAAATGAACTATTGTGAGAAATAAAGTCAGAATTGCGAGAAATAAACTATTGTGAGAAATATAGTCAGAATTGTGAGAAATAAACAAACTATTGTGAGAAATAAAGTCAGAATTGCGAGAAATAAACGAACTATTGTGAGAAATAAAGTCAGAATTGCGAGAAATAAACAAACTATTGTGAGAAATATAGTCAGAATTGCGAGAAATAAACGAACAATTTTGAGAAATAGTCAGAATTGCAAGAAATAAACAAACTATTGTGAGAAATATAGAAAGAATTGTGAGAAATAAACGAACTATTGTGAGAAATAAAGTCAGAATTGTGAGATATAGTCAGAATTGCGAGAATTAAACTACCTATTGTGAGAAATAAACTCGTAATTGTGAGAGTCACATTGTGAGATATATAGTCAGATTGCGAGTCAGAATTGTCAGAATTGCGAGAAATAAAGTCAGAATTGTGAGAAATAGTCCAGAATTGCGAGAAATAAACTTGCCATTGCGAGAAATAGTCAGAATTGTGAGAAATAGTCAGAATTGCGAGAAATATAGTCAGGATTGTGAGAAATAGTCAGAATTGCGATAAATAAACTTGCCATTGTGAGAAATAGTCAGAATTGCGAGAAATAAACTTGCCATTGCGAGAAATAAACTTGCCATTGCGAGAAATATAGTCAGAATTGTGAGAAATAGTCAGAATTGCGATAAATAAACTTGCCATTGCGAGAAATAGTCAGAATTGCGAGAAATAAACTTGCCATTGCGAGAAATAAACTTGCCATTGCGAGAAATATAGTCAGAATTGTGAGAAATTGTCAGAATTGCGAGAAATATAGTCAGAATTGTGAGAAATAGTCAGAATTGCGATAAATAAACTTGCCATTGCGAGAAATAGTCAGAATTGCGAGAAATAAACTTGCCATTGCGAGAAATAAACTTGCCATTGCGAGAAATATAGTCAGAATTGTGAGAAATAGTCAGAATTGCGATAAATAAACTTGCCATTGCGAGAAATAGTCAGAATTGCGAGAAATAAACTTGCCATTGCGAGAAATATAGTCAGAATTGTGAGAAATAGTCAGAATTGCGAGAAATATAGTCAGAATTGTGAGAAATAGTCAGAATTGCGATAAATAAACTTGCCATTGCGAGAAATAGTCAGAATTGCGAGAAATAAACTTGCATTGTAAGAAATAGTCAGAATAGTGAGATATAAAGTCAGAATTGTGAGATATAAACTCATAATTGTGAGAAATAAAATTGTGAGTTTATATCTCATAATTCTGACTTTATTTCTAGTAATTCTGAGTTTACATCTTCCAATCTTGGCTTTATTTCTCACAATTGTGACTATTTCTCTCAATAGTTAGTTAATTTTATCGCAATTCTGACTATTTCTTGCAATTCTGACTTTATTTTTCGCATTTCTGACTTTATTTCTCGTAATTTTGACTTTATTTCTCACAATTCTGAGTTTATACCTCGTTTATACATAATTTCGTGCACACAATAAGATAACCGGTAAACATGTGCGGACGCAAAGAAGTTGACAACATCGATTTCTAGTTTTGAATTGATCTTCATTCTGATAACCCTGGATCTTATAGCCTGTTCTGTTTTCTGTTGATGCGTGAACGAAAATTCACTAAAAATTGTTTGTGCCATCCAATAATCGCAACGTTACTTTAGATATTAAACAAAGTCTCAGATTTCAAATTATACCAATTTTATAACGAAACTCAAACAATAAAAGTCGTTTTGATCGCTCTTTATTGAGGCATGACAAATTTCGTTATGTATTTAAATGGCTATACAAATATACCTTATTATTTTGAGTGTTGATTATTGAATAAATATTAATAAATACTGGATTATTAAATCAAATGTATTTTGAGTTTCGTTTTCCGGCTATAAATTCAATTTCGGTATTTCGGAAAAACAAAATCTTTTCGCGGCATTAATATCTATAAAACTAATACATGACAATTAGTGGTGTAGTGGTTAAAGATCCAAAAGGTTGAAGATTCAAACCCTCACGAAGGGACTTTTATTCATCCATGGAGCACAAAAGCACAAAAGCAGAAGTTTAGCAGAATGTTTACGCTGCTCTTTTCCAAATGACGAATGTTTTGGTTTTGCGTTCCCTCTCAGTGGCCCGGTCCTACCTGTCGTCTGTGGATGGAGAAATAGTCATGTGACCCGGCCTCAGCGTGCGGGTTAGCCATGAGGCAGTGGTTTCTCAAACAAGTGACCCACTTAGCAGAACCCTCCTCCCGGCGCTGCAAACGGACCGTCAAATATGCGGTGTAGTAGTTCTTGAAGGAGATTTCCTGAATCTAGACACGAGCACAAAAGGGATATACCTTGATGTCATAATAGATAGATATCGGGCGGGTCAATCAATACCTGTAACCTTTCTGAAGCGATGCAGTGCGAGAGACACTCACGTCCACAGGCTCGGCGAGGGTGATGTCTGTTATGTAGACGCCAGGGCGAGATGAATCAGATACAGCGTCTCCAATCTGCAGCGGGACGGGCGACTTTATAGTGCAGCTCAAGGCTTCCGCGCTCATGGCTGACCCTGTGATGAGAACACACAGAGAGCGCTACTGGCCAAGAGCATTGTTATACATATATTGCTGACACTTTACAATAAGGTTCATTAGTTAACATGAACTAAGAATGAACAAAACTTCTTCAGCATTTATTAATCTTAGTTCATATTCATTTCAACATTTACTGATACGTTATTAAAATCAAAAGTTGCACAGTGTGAACTAACATGAACAAACAATGAGCAGCTGCATTTTTATTAACTAATATTAACAAAGATTAATACATACTGTAACAAATGTATTGCTCGTTGTTAGTGCATTAACTAATGTTAACTAATGAACCTTATTGTAAAGTGTTACCAATATATTTTAGAAAATATAATTATATTCATTTTTATAGTTTTTTTTCAAATGCTAATTTTATTGTCTTTAATATTTAAAATAATTGTATGTTTAGTTATCTTTTGTTGTGTTGTTATAACAAAAAACGACAACAGTAATTAATAATGACAACAATAAATAACATTAAAATAGCATTAAAAGGTATTTTTTTTAAATAAATAAATAAAAACGACATTAAAAAATAAAATCTTGCAGTTCAAACTAGTTTCTGCAACATATCTATATATTAAAAAATATTGTAGGTTATTCAATAGCTTTTCAGCAATAATTTAAACAATCCATAATATATGTAAGCAATAAGGTACGAGAGGCTGTGCTGTATCGTGAATAAGTAACGGCTGGAGGGCGTTGTTAGGCACGACGCGAAGCGGAGTGCCTGCAACCCCTTCAGCCGTTACTTATTCACGATACAGCACTTGCCTCGAGTACCTTATTGCTTTTATAAAACGGTTGCCACACAATAAAAATATTAAAGCCGAAAAATATGTATCTATGCAACTTTCATGAAGTAAAATCACTAAAAGCCTGCCTTCCGCTGGAAAAAATAGTCCCGGAACGTGAACAGCAACAGAAGTTACATATATTATTTCGCCAATAGATGGCGGCAAAGACTGTCTTTATGAGTGAGTGAGTGAGTGAGTCTGTAGAGAAGGCTTTTGAAAGGACTCGAACTTGTGATCACGGAGAAGACAGACGCAACTGACAGATGACTAACGTTATGCACGGAAAACCCCATGACTGTTAAAAGGACAAAATATGCAGCGGACATTCAAACGCATTTTTTTATTATGAATATAGGACTGACCTGAAGGAAAATGCTACGTCTACTGTAAATGCAGGTACACTCGCTTACTCGATCTCTCACAATGCTCTGCTCTAGCTTTAAATGAACAATATCAATGAGATGAAACATCTGTTTAAGTTGCTAAGAGTGGTTGCTAGGGGTGTTGTGTAGTGATACATAGAACCGTTGGGTGAAGCGGTCATAGCCGTGTTTTATCGTGAATAAAGCACAGCTATTGACCAATCAGAATCAAGGATTGGAACTAACCGTTTTATAAATATATATATATATATATATATATATATATATATATATATATATATATATATATATATATATTTATACATAATTTATATTATATATATAAATAACACATTTTTCTTAAATATATACATGCATGTGTGTGTGTTTATATATACAAAAAAAAGTATAGCCTGCACAGTACACACACATATATTATGCTAACACCGACTTTTATTTTGGATGTGATTAATCATTGCCCAGCACTAATTATTATACATGTAACAAAACCACTGTGATGTAAAGTGATATAGCCTACATAATTATCACTTTCATAACACATCAACATGATGTAAGGTGTCTCCGATTTAGCTTTTGGTTATATGCAGTATATATATATATATATATATATATATACACTCACCGGCCACTTTATTAGGTACACCTGTCCAACTGCTCGTTAACACTTAATTTCTAAGCAGCCAATCACATGGCGGCAACTCAGTGCATTTAGGCATGTAGACATGGTCAAGACAATCTCCTGCAGTTCAAACCGAGCATCAGTATGGGGAAGAAAGTTGATTTGAGTGACTTTGAGCGTGGCATGATTGTTGGTGCCAGAAGGGCTGGTCTGAGTATTTCAGAAACTGCTAATCTACTGGGATTTTCACGCACAACCATCTCTAGGGTTTACAGAGAATGGTCCGAAAAAGAAAAAACATCCAGTGAGCGGCAGTTCTGTGGGCGGAAATGCCTTGTTGATGCCAGAGGTCAGAGGAGAATGGCCAGACTGGTTCGAGCTGATAGAAGGGCAACAGTGACTGAAATAACCACTCGTTACAACCGAGGTATGCAGCAAAGCATTTGTGAAGCCACAACACGCACAACCTTGAGGCGGATGGGCTACAACAGCAGAAGACTCCACCGGGTACCACTCATCTCCACTACAAATAGGAAAAAGAGGCTACAATTTGCAAGAGCTCACCAAAATTGAACAGTTGAAGACTGGAAAAATGTTGCCTGGTCTGATGAGTCTCGATTTCTGTTGAGACATTCAGATGTTAGAGTCAGAATTTGGCGTAAACAGAATGAGAACATGGAACCATCATGCCTTGTTACCACTGTGCAGGCTGGTGGTGGTGGTGTAATGGTGTGGGGGATGTTTTCCTGGCACACTTTAGGCCCCTTAGTCCCAATTGGGCATCGTTTAAATGCCACGGCCTACCTGAGCATTGTTTCTGACCATGTCCATCCCTTTATGGCCACCATGTACCCATCCTCTGATGGCTACTTCCACCATGTCACAAAGCTCTAATCATTTCAAATTGGTTTCTTGAACATGACAATGAGTTCACTGTACTAAAATGGCCTCCACAGTCACCAGATCTCAACCCAATAGAGCATCTTTGGGATGTGGTGGAACGGGAGATTCGCATCATGGATGTGCAGCCGACAAATCTGCGGCAACTGTGTGATGCCATCATGTCAATATGGACCAAACTCCCTGAGGAATGCTTCCAGCACCTTGTTGAATCTATGCCACGAAGAATTGAGGCAGTTCTGAAGGCAAAAGGGGGTCCAACCCGTTACTAGCATGGGGTACCTAATAAAGTGGCCGGTGAGTGTATATATATATATATGTGTGTGTGTGTGTGTCATGTAGTGTAAATCTTATTAATATAACATACAAAAAGCAAAAACCATAAATGACACTTTATGAACAATATTTAATTCCTAATATTTACAATCTTCAAGCATTTACATTTTTTTCATATTCTTATTTTTTTTCTTTTTATTGCATTTATTGTTATTATTACTTTTTATTTAATGTCTAATATTTACACAATAAACACAAGCAAATCCTATCAAAGCACCAAAGCATTTACAGCAAAACAAAACCTCAAATGAATTGTGGGTGACGTGCTACACAAACAACAGCTGATGAAGCGGCCGGTGTGGCAGAGAGAAAGCCGCACGTGATGCTGTCTATGTAGGCGGCGCGCTGGGCTTTGAAACACGCCTAGTATGCATCACTGCGGTAACGTACTTACTGTAATATATTCAGCTGTCTGGGACTCGCTCTTTGGACTAAATTGATCTTGTGTTGAATAGCCGAGACGTGCTCTTAAACGGTGCTGAAGCGCTTTAAAGCAGCAGCAGCGTCACTCCAGACTCATCTGTGCAGGAATCAGAAGCGGCTTAATGATGTTTATGGCTTCATGTGTTGATAGTTGCAGCTCCACATGTCTCTTCCGGTCCTTTGTGTGACGTGTGTCTCTTAAAGGGCCAGTGTCTTTAAAGTAAACAAAGGGACCAGCCCAGCACAGTCGCTAATTATAAATCACTTTACATCACAGTGGTTTTGTTACATGTATAATAATTAGTGCTGGGCAACGATTAATCGCATCGAAAATAAAAGTCTGTGTTAGCATAATATAGCCTATGTGTGTGTGTTTTATATATATATAAACACACACACATGCATGTATATATTTAAGACAAATATGTTATTTATATATGCAAAATGTATATATAATATAAATTAAGTATATACATATATATGCATTTTTTTATTAAATATATACATGCATGTGTGTGTATTTATATAAAGTAATTATATACAGTACACACACATATATCATATAAACACAAACTTTTATTTTGGATGCGATTAATCACAATTAATCGTTGCCCAGTAATAATCCTAATAATAAATAGTTATAACAATGGGAAATCTGTTTATTTCATTGATGGGAAGAATGCTTAAAATAAAAACTAGTAGTTCAAACAAGCTTCTGCAACATATCTATATTTTAAAATAGTGTGTCATTTAATAGCCAGCACTTATTCAAACTATAAAACAATTTACACAACAATACATAAACTATACAGAGTACCATAAAAGCTATAATAAGGTGCCACCAAATGTGCTTATTATTATTGTTATTCGTATTTATATAATTGTTAATCTGATGAGAATACAATCAATTTAAGTATATATTACCAATGTTAATCACTACAATCAATTTTCTTCTCCTCAAGCACGCTACATTTCTCTTAGCATGTGTGAATTACTGTCGCAGATATTCATTATTGTTGAATCCAATAAGTTGAAGTAGATCATCAAAAAGCCAGAGGCAAAATGAATGGCAAAGAATGTAATAAATGTTGTGTTAAATCACCTGTTTACCTGTGTATGCCCTGTCTTCAGTCTTGCTCACTGTGACCGGCAGAGGGCGCTGACGCTCTTCGGCTGAGAGTGACGCTGAGGTACAGTATGTACTTCTGAAGCTGGATAGGCTACTCAAGACCCTCTGATTGGCTTTATCTCTTATATAAAACACATTTCTGCTCCTCCATCGTGTATATTGTTCGGCATGCATGACATAACATGCTCTTTCTGTCAAAGTCATGATAATTAGGGTGCATAATTATTCATGAGATTCATACTAAAGCCATTGTTGATTTAATACCGGGTCCTGGAGAAGAAGAGAAAAAAAAAAAAGGATTTTCTTGTATTGCAGTGTTACTATAGTATAGAAGGCTATTTTGTCATCAGTATGTGTATCAGATCTGTGACAAGCTTACACGTTTTTATTATTTATAATAAATTATTACTTATTATATTTTTGTATTGTTCATTTTATATTATTATTAGGCTATGCCTAGTTAGATAGGCTGCACTGTGGACTCACATCGGCAGAAAAACGTAATCGTTTTTTTTTTTTTTTTTTTTTTTTATAATCACACACAAATAATAATAAATGTAAACAATTGATAGTACTATGTATTATTATTCTTTTTTAATTATAATTAGAACCATTTTTTTTTTATACTAAATGCCAACACCCTCTAAAACAGACGCGCGCGCTCAGGACGTTATGGCACGCGCATCCTCATTGTGCCGAAATGATAGACAAATAAATAAATAAAAACAGCTCATCCCAGGTTCGCTTTGGGAATGGGAATGGGAATCGGGAATACAATATTTCCCTCAGCTGTGCCAGAACTGGCCGAGAGGATCAGCTAGTATTTTAGTCGAAGAGTTTGTTTATTGTATGGCAGTTGAGCACAGTCGCGTTCACGCTTCTACAGTGAGTGTCACAACGGTTCACGCGCACCGCACGGTCCAGAGTATTATACACCCCCTCAGAGACGACTTACATGGTTCGCTCTGGCTGAAAAGCAAAGAAAAACACCTTCAAGGACAGCCTAGAGGAAGACAACTCAGAGGGAAAGGATTTATCATCAAACATGTTTCCAAATGAGCCACTGAAATTCCCTCTCCTCGAGCAGTGCTGACTAACGTTAGGTCAGGCATTGACATGTTCGGTAGGAGCTGTTTTGTTTTGTTTAGTATCTTTTCAAACTTGACCATTTCCACTATCTACAACGTATCTTAAGCATTCACATCTGTCAGAGCCTTTGTCTAATTTAAAGCCCCGATATAATTCTAACGAAATCGAGGAATGAACTGTGTGACGTCATATTAAACACAATCAGGCCAAAACTGTTTGTTTGGAGTTCATGCAGGTTTCATTTGGTAAAGGGTTAGTTCACCCAAAATTGAATTTATTTACTCCCCCCCCTCAAGCCATCTATGACTTTCATCTTTCAGCTGAACATTATCAGAGTTATAATAAATAATATCCTGGCTCTTCCAAGCTTTATAATGGGAGTGAATGGTACCTTAGATTTCGAAGCCCAAAAAAAGCGAATCATAAAAGTAATCACGACTCCAGGGGGTTAATAAATACCGTGTTCCAGTTACTGGGAACTACTTTCCCGTTTCCAAGGAAAGTTAGAGGTCACTCTGGAACGAGACTCGCGTACGGCCGTTACTGGACGCCAGTGATTATAGTTCATAAAGTTATAAATATGGATATTTTTCTTACAGAAACGCATTGCTTCACTTCAGAAGGCCTTTATTAACCCCCTGGAGGCGTATGGATCACTTTTATGATGCGCTTTTTTGGGCATCCAAACGCTATTTGTGGACATGATACTTCACATTATCTGTGCAAAATATCACTGTTTTGAATGTGTTTGTATTCCGGAAGAGCAAGGACAACAAAGGTGTGCCATCTTAGTTTCCTGACCTGTGTGAACGCTTCATTTATCATCGCACTGAGAAGAAATCTGCTGAAAGGGAAATGGTGACTGAGCTTTCAGAGTTTACTGGTTGTTGTAATTATGAGTTCCAGGAGGACATGAATGCTTTTTACTCATAATTATGGTAATTACGACATGGCGTGAAGGCACCTATACAATCATGACTTTGTGAGTATTTTTCTAAGCGACAGGAGAGGAAGAATCCAGAACTTTCTTTCTCTGTTGTTGTATTTGATGTTATTTGATAAACACCATAATGAATATGGCTGTGTGAAAACAGTAAATATGGTTTGACTTCCTTTCTTCTGACAACTGTAAAGTTACAGCACTTTCTGTCTGGGTACTCTCTTTGATACAACTAATTATCTTTACATTCGTTTTTTTATGTGATTTTAGTTTTAATTAGCTTACATGCTAGCATAGCATACAGCTACCTGATTAGCCTGATAGCTTAGCTTATAGCATTTGAACTCACCCAACATGTATTCACAACAATCTGTATATCAATGTTGAATATCCAATTATTTCAGCTAATACAAGAACAATGCATTTGATAGAGCTGCACAATTAATCGTGAAAAGTTGATTGCGATCTCGATTCAAACACCCACACGATCGTCTATTAAATCTTTGACAAGGACGATCACAGAAAACCTTCAAATGATCACAGAAGTAGTTCAGATATAAACAGATATAAACACTGATGTCTAAAGTAGAGATCAAAATAGTGAAAATGAGTATTGTATCAATCACATCATTACTCCAGTAGGTGGCGACAAGTGACTGTTAAAAAAGTGCATTTGTCATTGAATCATTCAAGAGATTCGTTCAAAATGCAGATTCATTCGGCAACAAGTGAAGTCTTTATGAGTGAGTCATTGAATCATTCAAACCAATTAAAAAAAAAAAAAAAAAAATTCAAATTAATATATTTTGTTTTAAATAGATGGCAACAATAAGGCTAGCTTTTTTATTAGAAAATTTAGTAAATCAGATTATTTTGTTTAAGTTGTCTATTAAGAATCGTGGGAGAATCATGTTTTTTTTTTTTTTTGTGATTCTCAATTTATCCAGAATCTTGCAGCTCATAGTATTCAATGTTTAATTATTCGTTTCTTCTTATTCTTACTCTTATTATTATTTATTAACAATTTATCCAGTGAAAGAAATTAGATGAACACATTTTTTTTTGTATGCAAATTATTATGCAAAATAAGTAATCAATTAGTACATATTCTAAACTAATATCGTTAGGCTACTTCGTATTGATGGAGACATTATACATTTTGAAATGCAACGTCGCTTAGTTGATCTGGCGTCACTAATAACCATATGCAAGTACACCCGCCGGCCAAACGATCGTAAAGCACATTTCTGGCGTAAAGGTTAAGTGTATTATTTCCGCGATGCTATAGAGAGCCTAAGTCCCTCCCTTTCCGGTCGACCACCATGGGACCTTATTTCGGAAAAATATTATATGGTAGTCAATCATAGACATATACACTAGACGTCACCTTGGGGTTCTAAGCATGCGTCAAAACCACCATATTGATGGTGGCGGACTTTTGTGCTGTGTATGATGTTCACACGAATAAAATCTGAACTAGGAAGAATGTTTAAAAAAAAAAAAAAAAAAAAATTTTTTTTCTGGAATCAATGATAAATACATGTCTGACCGTGGGAAAATCGCATTCATGATGAGTTATGGTGATTTTATTTCCGTTAGACCTTTGTCTACATTGACGCTGATTTGTTATGTTGCGGGTCAATTTGACCCGTTTCGATTTTCAAGTTGTTGGAAATACTGGTTAACCTTTGTTTTTTGTCTTGATATTTTGTGACTTTTTCTCATTTATCATGATGAACATGCATGCAAAGTTTCAACATGCTGATGTGTTTTGACATATACAAACAAAATTACTATTACGTTCGTGATGTTCGCGGGTCAATTTGACCCTCATAGGCAGATATTCAAAAGCAACTGTACAGACACAAAATAAAAACATTTATTTTCTGTATGTAAGGGCACTTCAACTCCAGTTCTAACGTGCAAGTGCATCTAAAAGTGCTCTAACCCTAACCAAACACACTTGAAAAAGCTAAAATTACAGTGTTCAGAATTATTTGCAAATTACAGATGAAAATCTTTGTCAGACACAG